TTAAGTTTCATCTTTTAAGGACATCAAGATACAACCCACTTGATGTATTAATATTAATAAATTTTTTAAGATATTTTTTGAATTTCATCATTGTACTCTTTGAACTTCTTTTACATTTGATATTATTTCTACTTTGGTCCAAAACACCACCAAACATTTTTAATCATTCTTAAAAAATTAAATTTAAGATGTGTGCACAACAAAGGATATGAAATATTTCACCATGATATATCAATCCATTTTGTAATATAAGTTGACTTTTTAAAGTATTATGGTAAACATCATTAACATAAGAATTATCAGAGTGATATAAAAAATGTTTTTCTCTAATCCTCAAACTTGTAAAAATTGATTAATTTTCTTAGAAAACTCAAAACCAGTGTAAGGGGAGACATATAACCAAAGTGTAAAAGCTTACTACTTAACTTCCAATTTAAGTCAACAAAAGACAATAAAAGTTAAACCATCAATATTGATAAATGTTCATAAATCAGTAGTTAAGCAAATCCTACAAGGAACAAAAGCAAACAATTCCTTAAGCATGACTTTATACTTCATATACATTTTTCCAATACCAACCTTATCAATATTTCTAGAAACTAACATTACTTCGAGACAAATAGTTTATCCAAGTCTTAAGTTTTGGATACTCAACAAAGTTGTATGATAAAATTGTGTCTAATAATTACATTAGATAATAATTCGCGATGCACAACTTGATCTTTCCTTTTAGCCTTCCACTTTCCCTACATATTTAAAATTATTAGACTCACATATTCAATTTTGATTTTAACACATTTCATTATATGATCATTTAAATGAGAAACACTATGTTTTCTTCCACTAGTTCGATATATTTTCTTGCAAGCATTGCACTTTGCTCATTCTTTTCCATCCTTACCTAGCCTAATCTTATTAAAATATCTCTAACAATCATATGTACTAGCCTTTTTGCTTTATTTTATTTTTTCATTTCCAATAATTTCATATCATGTTTATTTTTCAATATCAGATTCCTCGATTTCTTCATTAAAAAAGACATATTTAGTGTTTCTCCATCATCCATTTCAATTTCTAAATTATAACTCTAATTAAAAATTAAATTTGACTAGTCAAATTAAATACTACTATATTATATTTTAAAAAGCCACCAAATATAATATCACAAACATTACTTACAATATGTCTAAATAACAAATCCAACAGAGCAAATAATTTGTTTATGAAAAGATAAATCCTACTTGTGTGTTTGGTGGCCCTTACTACCTTTGGTAGAATGTAGCTTGTTACAAATTGAAAAACTTAAAGTTATCAAGATAAAATTACAAACGTAAATGGAAAACAAACAATGTAATAAACTAAAGTATTAAAATATTAACGAGAAAAAAGGGAAATTGTGTGAAAAAATCAACAAAAGAAAATATTATTAAAGGATTTGTGAGAAATTATATTGAAATAAAAAAATTATGATGCTAGTGAAATGTTTGTGCTTTACAGTAAACTTGACACCTATTCACTTGCAATTCCAAAGTTGAAATATTGACATCCAATTATGAATTTGTGGTGTCATGTGATGTTTTATAACTTTTTATGCACCTGGAATATCTTACCAAACATAAATAACAATTCAAAACCAATTTAAAAAAAAATCTAATTAATAGTGACCCAACATCAATTGCCCTAGCTTAATCAACAAAATGGTGACAAAGTGAACGTGGAAATAAAGAAAATGTAGAGAATCTAGAGTGGAAGCAGGAAGGTAACATAGTAAGATAAATGAGAGGAAAAGACAAAGAGGTATAAAAAAAATGCAGAATAAAGAAAAATTAAAGCATATTTCATACATTTAACATCCAATAATTTTTAATTAGTATTGACAAAAAATCGAATACCTTGTCTACAGTTATTTGTATCGTATTTACAAGGAGTATTACATTGAACGTAGATGATGATTGTGACGTAAGAGAAATTGTATATTTGTTTGTGGTGTTTCAAGTAGAGAAGAAAAATGGATAACAAAAAGAAGCACATAATCGAGAAAGAGATTGAGAGAAAAATGAATTGGGTTGGTTGCAATGTCTCAATATGATGTTTGATTAAGTTTATTGTCTTTTTATTTATATGGGATAACCTACCCCAACCCAGCAGTTTGGTTAGCGCAAACCACAAGTTGTGAGGAGCGGACCTATGTGGGTTGCATGTGAAATACCTCATATATCTTGCATTTTCTATGACAAACTTAAGAGCTAGTTCGCTTTGTCCCACATTATCACCCTAAATCTTAATTTATCCTTACATGATCTTCATTGAGTTTTATCTGATTTTAACTAATCTACACATGATCTTAATTGATGCTACTGCATGTGATCTTAACTTATCCCATTAACTTAAACTTTTGAGTTGTTATGTGATCTTTATTAACTTGACTTTGTAATCTTAAGTGATCCCATAACTTATATACTATTAGGTGATTATCTTATAACAACTTTATATTATTAAGTAAGTGTCTTTCGACTAATATGCATTTTTTGTGTGAACTTTATACTATCACTTGATCATATTAACAAATTTATTGTCTTTGTTAAAACATAATATTTTAACTTAACTTTTGTGTCCATCAATTAATATGGTGATACGATCACATGCTTATTGATTACCAATTATTCTTTTATATTAATATCAAATTATGATTATAATATATAATTAGTATATATCCAAACTATATAGTCACACCACTTACATTTAATTCCCAAGTTTTTTTGTCATTCATGTTTGAGACTAATGGATTGTGTATTGTCCAATCTCTTTAGAACTTGAATATAGACTTTACCTTTATAAGATTGGTATTTAACTTAACTTGTACTTTAGTCTAAATCAGATCACATTGTCTTATTTATTATGCAAATTGTTCAACATAGACTCGATACTTATGGATACACAAATATAATAAATCTTGTAATGTGCGCACATAAATGACAAATTCTTATAGTAGGAGGGTGTCTTAGAGTCTAAAGTCTTACTATCAAAAGTATCTTGAGATACAATATTTACTACGAGAGAATGGATAAAAAATTAACCTTTTTGAGTTTATAAATAAACCTCAGTGCCTCTAATTTGAAATGATACATATTGAATACCTTGACTTGGAGTCTCTCTTAATCTTTTACTAAAACAATAATATATCTTTATAATAATATATTTTTAATGAAATATCCACACTTTTGTTCATATTTTTAATGAAATATCACTTTTTTACTATATTTTTTCATTCATAAAGCTTGTACAAAACATTACTTGAAGACTTTTAAAATATTTTTTTTATTTTTTAATAATAAATATACTTTTAAAAACCTTTTCATTTTATATTTAAACACACCTTTATAATATTTTGAATGATGCAATTATCATGAAGTTGTTTAGCTACTTTTATGATAAACTTTATTATCTCATCTCATATTTAAAATCATTTAAAATCCTTAATAAATATTCTCTCCAACAATACCATCTTTAAAAGCTTAAATGAATTACTAAATTTTGAGAAGTATCTAACTCAATTCTTGTAAAATGAGATTTGTAATTTATATATATATATATATATATATATATATATATATATATATATAATTAAACATCGTTAACTGAATTAGAAAATTTCAAAGTAAATATAAATGTATATCGTTTTGTTTTTAAGGTTTAAATTCACTTTTATTATCTATAGTTTCTCAAATGTGTAATTAATCGACTAACACTCAATTTTATTTCAATTATTATATATATATAACATCTTTCACTGAATATATTCTTATAATGTTTTAATTACTGATTTTAATTATTTACTTTTTAAAAATTAAATACTAGGCCACGGTTAATATGACATTTCATTATTAAAAAAAACTATTAAACATTAAATTTTATGGTAAAAATTTATTATTAATATGTGAATTAGTAATTGAATAATTCCAATTTATCCTTAAAGATTTTTGGCTGGGTTAAAGGATAAAAGTGTGTTTAAACTATAATTAGTCTAAACTTTTAAGTGATGTGAAACTTTCGGACATATTGAAACATATATTATTATTATTTATAAAAGTGTAGTATTTTTTAAAATACTACTAATTTATTTCAAAATACATTAGATGAAAAAAATTGTTTCAAATTTATAATATGTAAAATTTAAGATTATATTAATTATTTTTTTATTAGTTACGTATTAATTTTTTTAATCATATTTATTACAGAGAGTAAAAAATAAAAATTTATTTTAGAAAAAAATATTAAGATGATAATATTAATAATATTAAAAAAATATTAATAATTTAATTAAAAAAAAGCAAAATTCAGTCCACGTAAACAACAGGAAGGACAATTAAGTTTTTAAAATTCATATTACAAATAACAACCAGCAAAAAAAGGCCTTTAGAGTCCCAAACAACTTGTGTTTTTCTTATTTGATAATATTTGGCATTAATTAATCTAAAAAATAATTATTTCCTAAACAAAGTCAAGGACAAATCCAAATACACCCATGCATGCATGCATGAATAATTTGGTAGCACTGAGTAATAATTATTTAATGTTGCATTTGGTATGGATTTTGTAAGGGTAATGGCAAACCCTGATTCCTAGACCCACTCACTCACCCACCTCAATATTCTATGCTTTTATTTAAATAAATTAAATATTTTGATTACGTGAGAGCGGCAAAAGAAAAAGAAAAGAATTTGAAGCAAATGAAGAATCTGAAAAGGAAAGCTGAAAAGAAATTAATTCAAACACAAAGAAGAAGAAGAAGAGGGTCAAAGTCTAAAAGCCTATTCTGGGAAAATGACTCAACAGGAAACAGATGAATATAATAAATAAAATAAGAGCACGGGCAAGGTAAGGTACCACGCTCCATCAACACGCTTATATTCACTTCGTCTTTATTTTTCATCCATTTTTTCCTCTTCTCTTTCTCTGCTTTCTATAGTCTCTGTCCATACTGAAGTGAACCTCTGAAAATGGAGCAGTATGAAATTTTAGAACAGATTGGAAGAGGCTCCTTTGCTTCTGCTCTACTTGTCAGACACAGGCACGAGAACAAAAAGTGAGTCTTTTGCTTATATTCACACTCATGAATAACAACATCCTTTTACATATGTATTTTTTTTTTATTGTTGTTTCATTTGTGTAAAACTAGGTATGTTCTTAAGAAGATCCGGCTTGCCCGCCAGACGGATAGAACCCGTAGATCTGCTCACCAGGAGGTAGTACTAACACCACCATTTTTTTAAAATAATTTTTCTACGGCTTCAGAATTTGATGTTTGTCTAGGGTTTATGGTTTTTATTTACTATTGCATTTGGTTTTTAGTGTAATATGTAGTGTGCAGTTCTTTCTATTTGATGGTTTGTGTTTTAAAATGTGGAGCGGGGTGCTTATTCTGTCTTGTTTTCCTATTGCTGAAGATTCTTAGATGCTTTGTTTATTATTCCCTGTTTTGCAATTTGCAGATGGAGCTTATCTCTAAAGTTCGAAACCCATTTATCGTGGACTATAAAGATTCCTGGGTAGAAAAGGTTAGCTTTACAGAAAAAAAACATAAAAAAAAATAAAAACACTTTTAATTTTGTTGTCTTTTCTTGTTCTGTAGTGTTTTTGTTTACTTGACTTACTAAGACTTCCAAAAGTATAAATTTGGTTAACGTTTGACAAAGATGACTAATTTTGGACTCGGAAAGTTTAGTGATTTGTATTCACTTCTTTCTTTACAAATGGTGGCTTTTATTATTGATGATCTCGATACTGAAACCTCTTTTCTGTAACTCAAAATATGGGTTTTACTTCTTGGTTAATTTTGTAACGTAGAACTTGAATTAGTTCTCCTTGTCACAAATTTATGGTTTTATGTTAGGCAATTTGTTTTGCATTTAACATTCAACCAAATGGCTTGCCTTTTCATTAGTCACTTTGAACTTGTAAACAACTAATTCTTTCTTTTAATTAGTCCCTTTAATTAAAAAGTGGATTAGTAAGCTAAAACTTAAGTTCCGGGTTATTTGGAAACATAACTTGCTTGAGAACGACAAGAATTTTAAGCTTCAGGAGGGAAAAATAAACTCAATTGAAAACAGTGGGTTTGCTGTGAACTAATTGAAACTGGTGCCTGCACTTCCAGGGTTGTTTTGTATGTATCGTCATTGGCTATTGTGAAGGAGGAGATATGTAAGTCATCATTTGCATTGAGTTTAAGTTTTTGTGCTAGTCAGAACATATATGAATATATCTTTAAGTTGTGCAGTAAGTTGCCCTACTATAATTTCTTTGCAGGACAGAAGCAATTAAAAAGGCCAATGGTGTACATTTTCCTGAAGAGGTTGGACTCCTGTGCAATTCCTTTAACTCTTTAACCTGGCATGAATAATTTCCACTCCTATGTAATAATTTATGGAATTTAACTAATTAATATCTATATATTTTTTTCTTTTTGCGTACAGAAGCTCAGTAAGTGGCTGGTTCAGCTGCTGATGGCACTTGATTACTTGCATGCAAATCATATTCTTCATCGTGATGTCAAGGTGAATGATTTCTCTTAGTTCATTTACTGAGTATGTGAAATCTTTGAGAATCCACTTTATATTGATCTTTTTTCCATGCTGTTTTCAGTGTTCAAATATATTCTTGACAAAAGATCAAGATATACGTCTGGGTAATGGCTCTCTTTATTCAGTCCTCAAACTGTACTTACACTTCACAAATGTGTTTGGACTCTGAACGTCTCTAAGTTGTGCCTTGTTTTAGTATCCTATACTTATTTTGTGTATGTCAATGCAGGTGACTTTGGTCTAGCTAAAATGTTGACATGCGATGATCTTGCATCTTCAGTAAGTGTTACACAGCCAACATATTCTGTTGATTACTCTCACCTGATATCTTACTGTGTAAATTATTTCTCTTAACAATAGGTTGTTGGGACTCCAAGTTATATGTGCCCTGAGCTTCTTGCTGATATACCCTATGGCTCTAAATCAGATATATGGTCTTTGGGTAAGATAGATTTATTTTGTACTCGTGAGATCACCCAGACTTCATTACTCTTTCCTTTTCCATCTTCCAGTATATTTTCATTTGCAATAGACGTTGCTGACATCTTAAAATAATTGTCAGGATGCTGTGTATATGAAATGGCTGCTCACAAACCAGCTTTTAAAGCTCTTGTGAGTTTCTCTCTATGGGTGGCAATTTTTTCTTTGGATGATACGTTATCGGCAAAACTTTCTATGTTAATGCCCTATTTGGTAGAGAGGAGAGACATAGGACGGATGAAAATAAGTTGTTTTGTTACAGTGGAAATAGGTGAGAAATAAAGTGAGAATTAAAGGTGTTTGGTTGAAGAGAAATAAAAAAATAAAAAAGAAAAGGAGAAAGAGAAATGAGTAGAAACATGTGAAAAATAGTCCTATCACTAAAATTATTATTCTTCAAATCTCCTGCCAAAAACCCATCACCCTAATTCCATCCTTTAAACCAAACCGTCTCTAAGGGAAATTTGACGAGGGTACAAATAATTCATTTGAAACATGAAACGTTATATTGGATTATCAATGTGTCCATGGTGATGTATGAGTTATTACATATTGGAATACAACATGAAATCAGCCCTTTCTTTTTCTGTCTTTTATTTGAGCAGGATATGCAAGCACTGATTAACAAAATAAACAAGTCATTAGTGGCTCCACTACCAACAGTGTATTCTGGTTCTTTGTAAGTCTTCTATTTCCTAGTAATTTTAATTTCTTTAGTCTTCTATTGGCTGTTATTGAGTAATAAAGTATTAAGTACCATTCTCTTTAGGATTAGATCCAAGTACCAAACCGCAAATTATCTCTATTTTTAACAAATAATCGGTAAAAGAAGAAAAAAAGAAGATGCAAAGACAGAACAGAAAACATGGTAGGTCTCAGACGGTCACAGTTCACAATCAGCATAACAACATTGATTACCATTGATGAGGGTTAGATTCCTCTCTATTCTCCTTTCAAACAATTTGACTCAGCTCTCAATGTAAGTGTTCACAATCTATTGAAGATAAATTCACTATCTCTAGGCTAAATTCAATTCCTTTTTGTGCCCACCGAGAACCTCAGTTCCTCAGGTGTTCCTAACCGAAGCAAGCATGTATCATGTTTTCAACATCACAAAATTATTTTGTTCCTAGGTTCTCAACTTCTATGGTGAAATTCCTCAAGGTCCAACTCAATAACCATTTGAGAGATTGAGTTTAATTTCAACTCCTAAGTGACTAGTCCAAGAATAGCATCAAAAACTGAATAATTAACTCAATTGAATAATAAAATCACGAATTTATATATAACAAATCAAATTACACAGTATTGGAATAGAGATTTCTGTTTCCTCAACCCACGATTTAGTGATACATATTTAAAGAAGTCAAAGCAGAGAGATGAGAAATAAATGATCTCGATTAGCAGTTTGATGAGATTGACCCTTGATTCCTCAAGTTTGATCTCCACAAACCCTAATTAGATGATAGAGACTGTTCCTGTGTTACAAAGTGTTTTTCAATTGACAAAAGTCTCTTAACTGATTTAGGAAGCTATTATATCAATCCAGTCAAACCGAGTGTTCTTCAATTCCTGATATTATCAGCTCCCAGATTTTGATACTTATTGGCTAACATTGTTGTTCATCTTTATAGAATTACTTTCATTTTTGCTGCTCATTTTATTGGTAGATTTTCTAGTTACAAATCTTCACATGAATACCGATAGAGATGCTTAATATTTATATTATTCTCATGCCCCCACTTAGTGATATGATCCATGTAACTTATTGTGGTATGTCTGTTTCTTTCAGTCGAGGACTCATTAAGAGTATGCTGCGGAAGAATCCTGAGCTTCGGCCTAGTGTATGCTTTTTGTAGCTTATTTCTTTTAATTTTGTCAAGATTTGAATTGATTGATGAAAACTAGTTTATAAAATAATGGTGTGCAGACATAATTGTCTGTAAATGGCATTGTATTTGAATGATAAATACAAGCCAGATGTCATCACAGGTGAATGTTCATATGTAGATTTAGATTCTCTGCTCTCAAATTTTTAGTTTTTATTTTTGAAATTATAATTTTGACTTTTAGCTTTTAACCTTTATATGGTATAAGGTATAAGTTACTGGGATATTCTTCTTGATTGATCCCTTAGTAATTTTTTCTCAGGCTCTATACTTATCCTAGCCAGTGGTAGATCTTCTTGAGAGCAGGGGGGAGCTTGATACCCCCAATCTTTTCTTCAACGTATATAAGTTAATTTTTATAAAGGAAATGGTTTTCAATGATATTATATCCGTTTGGACCCTTAAAACATTTGGCACCCCCAAACTTGAGTCAAGCTCCACCACTGATCACAGCCCTCTTCGAGTTCATGTATATTGTGTGAACCATTTTCTAGTTAAGTCACCTAAGGCTTAGCTTCTGGAAAATGTGTAATTTGATGTGAAATAAAATAACGTATGGGTTTCAGTTATGTTTATTTTACACTCCTGCAACATGCTTATCAAGAGGCTTCTCATTGAACATTTTATGTGGCTTCCATTTTGAGCATACTTTGGATGTAGTAGTTATAACTAGTTTATACGAATTCTGCTCAGTTAATGTCATTTTGGTGGATTTATTCAACACTAATTAAGTGCTTTTTTTGGCAGGCTGCAGAGTTACTAAATCATCCGCATCTTCAACCTTACATTATTAAAATTCACCTAAAATTAAATAACCCTAGAAGAAGTACTTATCCATTCCAATGGTCTGATTCAAACTATGTAAGGAGGACTCAGTTCCTTGCCCCGGATTCTGTTTCTACACTTTCTGGAAGAGATAAAAGATTGTCATTCAGCAATGACAGGGCGTTGAATCCTAGTATTTCTGGAACTGAAGTAGGATCTGTGTGTTCTACTCAAAGAGGTCAAGGATTCTCTACTTGTTCAAAAGAGAAACACTATGAACTATCTGTTGGTTGTGTTCGTGAAGAATGCAATTCGAACAAGTCAAGAGACACAAAGTCCTCAACTGTTGATAGGATGCCAAGATTGAGAACAGCCAAGGAATATGCCACTCCCCGAAGGCAGACAATACCATCAAAGATATCCAATACTGGTTCCAAGCGTGAGTTAGTAAGTTCAAGTTATACACTTCTCAATACCTCCATATGTCTTGATGATAAGAAATTTAAGGAGAAAAATAATTTGATTGTACTGAGACAATTAAATTAACTTCTCAACCTGAATTAGCATTTGAATCATGTCATGATATTATATATGATGCATTTAGGTTCAGCATGCATGCATGCATGTGTTCATGCATTAAGGTACGTCCTATCGGTGTCAAGTGTCATTACATGGATTAGTATTATTTTAGTAGCTCTTAATTTGTGATGTGTTTTCCTTAGCCTGAATTAATGGAGCGTATGTATGTTCCTGTAGATTCCAGGGTGTACATCAATTCATTTGTTTTGTTTATTATCATCATTTCAGCTTCCAGCATATTCCACTCCAGGTGTGAAATTTACCGTACCAACCCGCAGAGCTTCCCTTCCTCTGCCTACCAGAACCATGGGTATGACCACCCCTTATAGGGCTAATGTTGGTCTTCTTCGAGACGTGGACTCTCCTGATATTTCTGTTAATGCCCCGCGAATTGACAAGATTGCCGAATTCCCTCTAGCATCTTGTGAGGATTCTCTCTTTCCTGTCCATGGAACTTCATCGACCTTGGCTCAGTGTTCTTCTGGTTCCCCGAAGAGTGCTGACTGTTTAATCACGAAAGACAAGTGCACAATCCAAGTTGTGGACAAAGTCAGTGTCCCTTCAAGTGTACAATCCCCAAAGAGTGCTGCTCCAGTTTCACATGGCAATGAATGCTCTGAACATGCTGTTTCAAGCCACTCCTCTGCCGAGTCTCGCCAACAAAGGTTTGACCCCTCGTCTTACCAGCAACGTGCCGAGGCATTGGAGGGTTTGCTTGAGTTCTCTGCTCGGCTTCTACAGCAACAAAGGTTTGAAGAACTTGGGGTGTTGTTGAAGCCATTCGGTCCTGAGAAGGTTTCCCCAAGAGAAACAGCTATTTGGTTGGCTAAGAGCTTCAAAGAAACTGTGGCCTAAGGTTTCCTGATCCACTTTTAGATAGTTGACAACTGTGTAAAGTTGACCAGTAGCTTAGCTTCTAATCTTATTGTTCTACTTGACATCATTAGCATTTTCTGATATGCTAAACTCCGCAGCACTTGCACAAGTAGTTTGAAGTTAATTTTATCACTATTAGATCAAACGAGGAGTGTTATTGAAGAGTTTGCTTTAGTGCCGTGCACGGCTCCTACAACAGAAGAGGCTTGTGGAGCCCCAGGGTGTTCTTGAAGCCATTCGGGCCTGAGATTTCTCCAAGGGAAACAGCTTGTTGACCAAGGTTTAAAGACACTGTAGTGGTCTAAGGATTTATGACTTTTATGATCACTAACATCAGCATGATCTAATGTAGAACTATATATATGTCATTATAAATTGAAGAAGAGTAGCTTAGCTTCTATTTAAGCGGAAATTGTTCTTCTTATTGTTCATTTGGTATCATTGGCATTCTGAGATGTCTCCGCAGCAACTGCACATTTAGTCTGAAGCAAAAGTGATCTGTCTCACAGTATAATAACAGTAACCAGCACTAAAGAATTATAAAAATGCCTCTTTTAATATTAATAAATTCCAAAAAATGGAAGTAAACAAGCATACAAAATATTAGAGAATTCCAAACGGGAAAATGTTTTGTCACAGTAGAGTGGTCCGTACAAGAAGGACAAAGAAGAGAAAAATATTCAGAATATACTGTTTCTCTTTATTATTTTCTTCCACTCTTTATATGCTCCTATTTTCCTTGGTCTGCATTTTCCACGTTTTGCGTTTCTCACGAGTGCTGCGTCTTAACTCACCAGTTTCTGTTATCGCATCAATCGGAATATGTGCCACGTGTCCCTCATCATCATCTTTTATTGTCTTCCTTAATCTCGTATCAATGCCCCCGCCATTAAAACTGACCTTGTCCCCAAGGTCAAAAGATGGAAATTTTTGCTGCATAAAGGAAACAGATTCCCAAGTGCTATCCCTGTTGTAAAAGTTTTCGCGAGTCTAAAATTTTTAAGGGCCTTGGGTGGGAATCCTCCGCAACTGTGTCTAAAGGAAGAGCACAACAGAATGAATCCGTGCACTAGGGGGTAATAATAACCGATAAGCTACTGACCCAACACGTTCGGTCACCGGAAAAGGGCCAAAATAGCGGAGACTCAATTTTTGATGGCCATGGGAACGCAAAGTGGATTGTCTATAAGGCTGCAGTTTGACAAAAACCATATCCCCTATTTGAAATTCCACATCCACTCGTTTACGATCCACTAGTTGTTTCATGCGATTTTGGGCACGAGCAAGATTGAGCTTAAGGGTGGCTAATACCTCATCACGTTGTGTCAACAATTAAGCCACCTCAATAGGCACATTATCCGCCGGGCCTCGAATTAAGCTAGGAGGAGGACGCCCATATACCACTTGAAATGGGGTCATACTAGTCGCTGTAGGATAGGTCGAATTATACCAGAATTCTGCCCATGGAAGTAATTGAAACCAGTTTCTAGGATGATCATAAACAAAACAACGGAGATACATTTCAACTCAGCGATTGAGGACTTCTGATTCACCATCCGTTTGAGGGTGATATGCTGTGCTCATGGCCAATATCGTGCCTTGAGATTTAAATAGATGCTGCCAAAAATGACTAGTAAAAGTCTTGTCTCTATCGGATACAATTAATTTAGGCATTCATGGAGTTTTACTACATGTTGAATAAATTGGTCAGCCACAATAACACTCGTAAAGGCAGTTTTGAGTGGAATCAAATGGGCATATTTAGATAGCCTATCAATAACAACCATAATGACCGTATAACCATGAACTGGAGGAAGACCTGTGATAAAATCCATAGCAATATCTTCCCAAATATGGTGAGGAACGGGTAGTGGATTGAGTAGTCCTGCAGGCAAGAATTGAGAAGTCTTAGCTTGTTGACAAATTTGACAGCATTGAACATATTCCTTAACCTGCTACTTAAGACCATGCCAAAAGAACTGAGACAGTAATTGTTTATAGGTCCGGAGAAACCCAGCATGTCCCCCGACCGGCGTGTCATGAAACTCTTTTTTACCAAAAGCAAAGTTAATGGAGACTTAGAAGGAATAACGAGGCGATCATTCTTATACAATAGGCCCTCATGACTACGAAAAGAAAAGGGAGGGTTACCCTTGCCACAAGCCTCCAATACCATGCTGTATTCTGGATCCATAGTCAAATCCTTCTGAAGTGTAGGGAGAAAATCGTAAGTAACGGTGGATAGAGCTAAACAGCTTACCCGTGATAAGGCATCCGCGCCTGTATTTTGGTTGCCCGGTTTGTACTCAATCACAAAATCATATTCCAATAATTTATGCATTGTTGTTTTTCAGGTGTTTGTAGAACCTGATCCATTAAAGGACGTAAACTCTTATCGTCAATACGAATAATAAAACGATGCCCAAGCAAGTAATGACGAAATTTTGCAACCGCCTCAGTCACTGCATACATCTCACGCACATAAGCAGATTTAGCTTGTAATCGTGAAGATAATTTCTTTGAGAAGAGTGTAATAGGATGTCGGCGTTGGCTCAGTATAGCACCCACTCCCACTCCGGGATGCATCAGTTTCCAATTCGAAAGGGGTAGTAAAATAAGGTAAAATATATTGGAAATATTACTATTTTATCTTTTATTTAAATAAGATATTAAGAGATTTTATTATCTTTTAATAGAGAAGATAAAAAAATATTAGATTATTATTTTGATTTAGGTAGTCATGATTGAGATATTATTGATATTTGATATTTTGTAATATTTTTACTCTATATATACATAGAGTACATGAATAAAAATATACCCATATGATATATCAGAAATACATATACATAAAAATCCTAAAAATTCTCAATAAATTGGTATCAGAGATTTGGTTCGACACAATGGAAGAATTTTTTTTTTCACAAGTCGTTATTCCAGTTTTTGATGGCAAAAATTATGACTTATGGGTTGTGAGAATGCAATCCTATCTTGAAGGATTGGATGTATGGGAAGCTGTAGAAGAAGATTATATTGTTGATCCACTGCCTGAAAATCCCATCATAGCTGAAATGAAATTTCACGGAGAAAGAAAAACGAGGAAGGTAAAAGCTAAATCATGTCTATTTGTTGGTGTTTCACAAATGATCCTCACCAGAATCATGACGCTAAAGTCACCTAAAGAAATTTGAGATTATTTGAAAGATAAATATGAAGGAGATGAGAAAATTCGAGGTATGAAAGTTCTAAACTTGATAAGGGAATTTGAGATACAAAAGATGCAAGAGTCTCAAACAATTAATGAATACTCAAACAAATTTTTGGATATTGCTAACAAAAAAAATTGTTAGGCAAAGAATTTTTTTATTCCAGAATAGTTGAAAAAATTCTTGTAACTATGTCAGAGAGATATGAAGCATCTATTGCTTCATTGGAAAACACAAAAGATTTGTCTAATATTACATTGGCAGAAGTGTTACATGCTTTACAAGCATAAGAGCAACGAAGATTGATGAGAGGAGATCATACTACTGGTGAAAGTTCTTTACTATATCATGATGGAGGTTCTGTCCAAGCCAAGAACAACAAAGGTACAAAATCACAAGTATTTTGTAAATCACAACCAGAGGAAGTCGTTCAAGTGTTGGTGGAGACCTAATGTGAAATGTCATAAATGTGGTCAATTGGGACATATAGAAAAGATATGCAAATCACAACCAGAGGAAGTCATTCAAGTTATAGAGGATAGAGTAGAAGAGATACTTCTCCTTGCATCAACATGCTCTACAATCAACAAATCCACAGGTTGGCTTATAGACAGTGGTTGTACAAACCACATGACTCATGATCGAAAACTTTTCAAAGAGCTCAACGAATCACATATTTCTAAAGTGAGAATTGGTAATGGAGAAGAAATGGATGTGAAAGGTATGAGAACAATTGTAGTTAAAAGTCGTTCGGGTATCAAATTGATTTTTGATGTTTTATATGTTCCTGATATAAATCATAATTTGTTAAGTGTTGCTCAATTATTGGAGAAAAGTTATAAGGTGTCTTTTGAACAAAAACTTTGTGTGATTAAAGATACAAATAACTTGGAAATATTCAAAGTTCACATAAAAGAAAAAAGTTTCACTTTAAATTTGATGAAAGAAGAGATGATTACAAACGAAGATATAAAAGAAAAGTAAAAGAAAAAACATAAAGAAGATTTCTTGAAGGAACTTGATGTTAAGGAGGAAAATAAAGATGTAGATGAAGAAACCGTTTTCAACGTCCATCAAAGAGTCAACAGTACTACCATGAAGTTTGAAAGAAACAAAGGAGATGAAGTTGATAAATGAAGAAATATTTTGATGAAGAAAGTGAAGTTGAATTATATGTTCATACAAGAAATATGTTCATACAAGAAAGAAGATGACAAGAAGTATAAACAAAAAAGGAGGAAAAATTATAAGCAAAAGAAACAAAATATATCAAATTCAAATAAATAGATATTAAAGTAAGGAGGAATGTTGGGAATACTACTTTATTATCTTTTATTTAAATTAGGTATTAAGAGTTTTATTATCTTTTAAGAGAGAAGGTAAAAAGACATTAAGTTATTATTTTGATTTAGATAGTTATGATTGAGATATTATTGATATTTGATATTTTGTAATATTTTTACTCTATATATACATAGAGTACATGAATAGAAATATACTCACATGATATATCGGAAATATATATACACAAAACTCTAAAAATTCTCAACAAAGCTAACACAGGGGCTTGTGTGATTGCTTGTTTGAGCTTTTCAAAAGCCATATGGGTGGAGGAATCCCAAAGAAAAGCATATTTTTTCAGTACCGAATGAAGAGGAGCAACTAATGAGGCATAACCATAAATAAAACGACAGTAATAATTAGTCAAACCCAAAAAACCATGGAGCTGCTTAAGTGTAAGAGGTGAGGGCCAATCAAGCACTACAGAAACCT